TTTTTTTTTTTTTTTTTTGCCTGTGCCATATATTGAAATGTATCCTTTTGTCATTGATGTTTTTATGAAATGCTCTGGTTTGACATTTTTTTATATGCCTAATATTTGTTTTCTTTCTTTTTTTTTTGATGGGAAAATTGATTTTTAAAAAATTTTTAATTCCAGTGTAGTTAACATACAGTGTTAAGTTCATTTCAGGTGTACAATGTAGTGATTCAACACTTCCAAACATAACTTGGTGCTCATCACGATAAGTGTACCCAGTATTTGTTTTCTAGGCTTTGGGACATCTCTTCTATAGACTTATTTATCTGCCTACCATATTTCACTGATTTCAAGTCATACAGATTCCACATTTTATATTTAAATTTGGACTACGTCCTCTAATCAGCTGTTGCCTGGATGGCAGTTGAGTTCTTCCCGAGATGATTTGCATTTTTTTTCTGCCATTTACTGGGGGGGGGGTGGGTTGGGGGTGCGGGAGGGAGGGGTCATTACCAACTTGGGTCTTCTTAAACTAATTTCTCTGCTTGACATATTTTGGACTATGCTGCTAGTGTGAATTCAGACCACAAAATTTGTGGGCTGGCAGGGCTGGGGGACCAGTTCAAATACCAAGGAATATTTTTCCCCTTCTTCCCATTGTCAGGGAAGACGTGTGCAGACTTCTTTGCTGTCCCTTGTAGAGGAAGGGTTATTTTTTTCTACCCCTCATTGAGGCTGTAGCCATCCAGTGTCCCCACTTTTTGAAGTGGTCTCTGTCTCCTTTTAGACTCTGTATCCTGAGCATCTTTCCTTTTCTTTGCATGGGTACATAAAATAATGGTTCATCTTACATTTCATGATGTCTTACACTTAGTGAAATATGGTGTTTTAGTGATTGTAACTTGATAGATTTTACTGTCTCAGGGCAAGTTCTCAGTATACCGTAAGCCTTGGCTCTTGTTCCAAATGAATTTTGAAATGACTCAAGTACCCCTGACAGTCTCTCTCCACAAAACAGAAGCAAAACAAAACCCAAACAGTGTAGTTCTAGGATTTTAATATCACCTAATAAGAAAAACTAAGAACCTTTAATTTCACACATAATTGTTCACTGTTCATTGTTTTCTTTCTTCTTATACTTGGTTATAAAATTTGGGCAAGAACTTAAGGTCCTGATACTGTTTTAATACTATAAAATAATTAATTTAGAATATTGACAGTTCTATACATGGTTCGTGTAAATGGAGAGCACTTCTGTTGAATAATTCTTTGTGTTTATCTCCCTTAGTCCTTTTTAGAATTGTTCTTTAAAAAGCCTCACATGAACTTGACAGAAATTTTTTCTTTTACTTTCTATACTCGTTTTGTTCTGAAGGTCTACCACACTAGTCAATCTCACTGAATACTCCCAGCCGCACTTCTGTCCCTTCAGAAGCCCTGAGGCCTTGTGCTCACAGGCCTGGTTCTTCGGAGGCAGTTAATGGTGCAGGTGTGGTAAAGCTGAGCACCTGACAGAATATTCTTTTACTTCAGGAAGGAACAACAGTGCATAGTATATTATTACTATAAGTTTGCAAAGTTCACCAAGGATTCTTTTTTTCTCTTAAAGACTTCCTTGTCTTTCCAGAAAGTTGGAGTAGAAATTACGTTGCTGAGAAAACTCTCAGAGGACATTCCCACTTTGCTCCTGTGATGGATGACAGAAAAGTGGTTCATCAACATTGGCTCAGAAAGAATTCTCACAAGTAGGAAGTCATTTAAAAGAAAACCTACAGAACAAAAAGACAATGAAGAAAATCAGTACCACCTTTGGACAGTATAGATAAGAAAATGTAATTTTAAAAATGATGCAGTTAAAAATTCCTCAGATCAGGTTAGTTGTACAGCTGTCAAAGTAATGCGTGGTATCAATGAAGAAATATTTGTGGCATGCAGACGGTTATTTCTGTTTCTTAAAGACCTATTGTCAATGGGCTATTAAACTTGCATTTTTTTTTTATTAATGTAGTATGTTCTTTTATTCAAGTATGGACTTCTTGAGAAACCATAGTTATATGATTTTCCAAAAATTTATGTTCTACTTTAAATGTGAGTTGTAGTTCCCAGCTGCTTTACTGAGGGGTCATTTGTGTCTAAGAGGAAGTAGCCAAGATTGCTTATATTCCAGGTTGAATCTGAGGTCTTATGAAGCCTTTCAAGCGCTCGCTGAGCCTGTAGTTGTGGAAGTGAGATGCTCCTGCAGCACAGAAGTCCTGGGAGGTGCTCTCCCGGGACATCCATGTCCGCTAGTGGGGTCGTTGGGGGGCAAACGGGAGGCTTTCCATTTTGTCATCTGAGTTAGCTGTGCAGTTGCCTCGTTGCTAAACTTTCAATTAATGTGAGAACCAAAGTAGAGTTTCTTGGGTTTTTTTTGTTGTTGTTGTTTTTTCTTTTTTTCTCTTTTTTTTTTGCTTTGTATTAATTTCACTTATACCAAAGTGTTTCAAAGTATGAAATGTATTGCTTCTAGACTATAAATCTACTTCCTGAAAAGACTGTTCTGTAATATTTCACTTTGTTTTATTATAACTTCAAATTATCTTAAATATTTTCCTAATACATGGGAATGCTGATTTTTCTTCTTTTGTTATGCGGTAGAAACATTTTACACTGTTTATTACATAGTTCTCATGGAACATAGAATTTTTTGAAAGCAACATATGATACACATTTTTTGTGTATATATTCTAATTAGTGTGAATAAAATAGTATTGCATTTTTAAAAAGCAGCAAACGTTTCTCGTCTTCCTTAAAAATATGCCTGTGAGTTCAGCGTTCATTTACTTTTCACTGTGAGTCCCTGCTGTATATAGTTAATTCATAGCATTTGCTCCTAATAATTGAATTAGGACAGAACAATTTTAGAGCTGCACGTGATCTCAGGCAACATAATTCATGCCAGCCATCTCATTCGATCGCTGAGGACGCAACAGTGCTTGCCTTTCTCTGGCTGCAGATCTAGTGGCAGATTGGGCTGGAATACAGTTTCACTGACTCCCATTTGGCCTTCATGTCTCTACACCTAGTACTACTGCTTTTCACTTAATTTCCACTTAACCCAAAGTGATGAAATAAAGAAAAATGAATGTTATCTATATATACTTAATAAAATCCAGTCTAGTTTGATTTTTCAACTTACAGCTGGTTTCAGCAGCATCATTCAGCCTATGTCTTCTGAGTATTGTGGGCAGAGGAGAAGAAATACTTGAGCCAATGTCCAAAGAAGAAATGTATACCAGCTGAGTTTCAGGAATCGTGAAATTTTATTTTAACACTTGAAACATAAATTAGTTTTTTGGTGACTCTGCCTGTGGACATGAATTTATATTACTCTTCAGTTTTTTTTTTAAAGATTTTATTTATTTATTTAGAGAGAGCACATGACTGGCGGGGGGTGTCAGAGGGAGATGGAGAGAATCTCAAGTGGGCATGGAGCTTGACTCGGGGCTCGATCCCATGACCCCGAGATCATGACCCTGAGCCGAAATCAAGAGTCGAACACTCAACCCACTGAGCCACCCAGGCGCCCTACTCTTCCATTTCTTCAAACAAAACAAAAAAGCAAAATGTTAGTAGGTCCCATGAGGGCAGAATCTGCACTTGTTAGCATATTGTTCACTATTGATACCACCATGCTTAGCACAGTCTTGTAACACAGTAAGGCACTTTCCAAATATTTTCTGAGTAAGAGAATTTTAAGAATCAAAACATGATCTAACACTTGGAAGAGACCTTGGAAGACCATCCAGATCAGTGGTTTTAAACTTTTAAACTTTAAAAAAACTTTTTCACTTTTAAAAAGCAGCAGAACCCTTTTTCAAGTGAGAACTTTCACCAAATTCCAGAACATAATCTAGATGTGAGCATCTGAGTCAAGTTTGACCTCCCTCTTTCCCCAGGAAGAGCTTATCCCCTCCTGGAACCTCCCACTCCAGGCCCTAATCTGGGATAACACCCTCACTTTCCCTCGGTGCGGAAGGTCAAATCTCTCCTTCTGAAAGGGTTTCATAAGCGAAGTATGGGACAAAAAAAGCATCCGGGTCTGAAGTTGGTGGTTGGAGTCCTCACAACACTGATGATGGTAACGTGGCTGGTTAACTTGACGTGTAACAAGGGGATAGTACTTTGCAGCTCTGACAGACCTGTGTGTTTCTTGAGTCTACCAAGTAAGGGTGTTTTCTCAAAACCAGAATATAATTATAACAAGCTACACAGGTTATATTGATTTTTTAGGTAAGTATGTTATTGGAAAGATGTGATCCACACAGAGCCTTGGCAATGAGGCAGAGGGTAGATAACCACCATCCTGGCAGGAAGATCGTATGTGCTGAGTTAGTCACTCATGACATACGGTCTGACCATAAACAGGGTGCTGGTGATCAGGACTGTCCAGAAACCCAGGATGATTGGCCTTGGTATCTATCTTGCCATTCCTTTAGGTTTCTGTGTCGTGAGGCATCCCACTACCTCAGTGTTCACCAAACAATACTTGGGTGGAGACTTGGTTTCCCGTGTAGATTTTGCCATCTGGGAGGAGGGTGAACTGAACTGCAGACCCTGAGTGTTTGGTTTTCTTTGAAGTTATAGTTCTTGTCACTTGGTAGGTTGGCCTTCTGGCTTTGTAGTAGTCAGTTCGCAGGTGGGTCCTCTAAGAGGAGTTGATAGAATTTAGCTCCTTGAGGAGCTGAGGTGCCAACATGGTGTTCCTGCTGTTGTCCATCTCCCTGCAGAGCATCTCCCCGAGATGTCTGTCCTCCTTCCAGCAGGTTATCAGCCTTGTTCTGGCATTTCTTTTTCTTTTTTAAAGATAGATTATTTATTTATTTGACAGAGAGAGAGAGGACAAGTAGGCAGAGCAGAGGGAGAGGGAGAATCAGGCTTCCCGCTGAGCGGGGAGCCCAATGCGGGGCTTGATCCCAGGACCCTGGGATCATGCCCTGAGCCGAAGGCAGCTGCTTAACCGACTGAGCCACCCAGGAGCCCCTGTCCTGGCATTTCACCTCTAAATGGATAAAACGTTGATAGCATCATAAAGACCTCTGGTGCCCACCTGCCTTTCTTTATGTCCAGGCTCTTAGCTGTGGCTCCTTGTGCAAGACATTTTCCCCCTAATGCCTCGGCAGGCAAAGTGTTTTTTGGTTTTTGTCCATTTTCACTGCCATGAAATTCCCTGACCTCAGAGTTGTGAGACCAAACGGCAATATGAGTAACGTGCGTGTGACAGCTCCAGGCATGTAGCCACACCCAGAATGCCGCTTGTTTGATCGCTGTTACTGTCGTGTCACCAGGAGCACTCAGGTAGACCCAGGCCTTGGTGGCCGGCTCGCTGCCACTTCCTGTCCCTGGGCCAGGTTGCTCCAAGCTGAGGGCTGCTAGCAGCTTCCGCGGGTGTGTGAAGTGTGGCAGCCTGGAAGAGGTGGCGGTCATTAGAAAGGAGAATGAGGGGCGGTGGAGCCAGTCGGGGTGGGATGGCAGGGCGGGGGTGCTGATGCTGATTTGCCTGCTTCACGCAGCTCAGCACGCTTGGTGCCTGTGTGTAACCTCTGCATGCCCTGATTCTCTAAGCTCGTTTTGGGATAAGGATCCAGAAAACATGTCTTTCCTTCTTAATTCTTTTTCTCCCTGACATTTTGTTTTCCTGCTTTAAAACACCAACCCTTTTAGATTTTCCCCAAACCCATCAGCCCCACAGAACACTTAGAAAATGACTTCACATTAACACCAGTGGGAGCTCATGAGATAATATACTTCCTTCTTTTAGTCTCAGGTCAAGGGAAGCGAATTTGGACAGTATACATGCTTAGTATTCTAGGAAATACCATAAAATATGTTCAGCATGTCTGAAGCTGTATGATGACACGTAAAACACACCAGGGATTTTCGAGGGCCCAGCCCTGAGCTAGCAGATTGGTTAGAGGGTGAGCTGCAGTTCGGGTTCATGGGCAGGTGGAAATGGTATACTTGGGATGGCCCACCGTGTTTTTCTGTCATTTCTTATGTTAAAAAGTGACTTTTAAGAGACTGTATTACGGAAACTTTCTTTTTTTTTTTTTAAGGTTTTATTTATTTGAGAAAGCGAGCGTGAGAGAGCTCATGCGAGTGCGCAAGCGCGCGCATGAGCAGGGGGAGGGGGAGGGGCGGAGGCAGAGAGAGAAGCAGGCTCCCCCCCACCCGAGCAGGGACCCCGACGTGGGGCTCCGTCCCAGGACCCTGAGATCATGACCTGAGCTGAAGGCAGATGCTTCACTGACTGAGGTACCCAGGCGTCCTGGAAGTTTTCACATACTCAGAAGTATGGAGAATGGTGTAATGCATCCCCGCGTTCGCTTCCCCTCGCTTCAGGGGGCTGTCAGGGACGGACTCCCGAGGAGATGGCCCAATGGACAGGTAAGTGGTGGTAGCCAGGTGACAAGGGGCGGGGAGTGCATTCAGGACATGTGGGAGGATGTTAGGTGGGTAAGGGCATCGCACGCTCGGGGCGCTGGAAGAAATTAGGTTGTTATGCGTGGAAGGCGCAAAAAGAGCCACGTGAGTGTGTTGAGTATGATTTTCATTACAGTGGTTTTAAAGACAACATTCTAGGGGCGTCTTTTCTTCCTGTAGTGATTTAATAGCATTCACTCCTGTTGAAAGCAACACAGTCTGAAATATTGGCGAATGCTCGCTCCCAGCTGAACTGTATTCCTTTCCCCCGCCTCTCAGATCCGAGCCGGCTGCTTCTCTGAGACCCGCTTGCTTCTCTTTCCAGGGTGTCTTTATTGGTGAGGTTTTGCAGGGTACTTCTGACTGCTGGAGAAGCGTCAGGTGAACGAGGCTGCTGTGGATCTCTGAACGATCCTCCCCGGCCTAGAGCTGGGGTGGGCACTTGGGGGGGTGTGGACGCCTTGCGGTTCAGGTGCTGTCCACGCTCTAGCTCTTACCTGTAGTCTTTACAGGAGCCTGTTGGAGGTGGGTGTTATCCACCCCATTTTACAGATGAGAGAACTGAGGCTTCTAGAAGCGAGCCGTCTTGCCAGGGCCACACAGTTAGTGGCAAGGCTGAAAAAAGTGCATCTAAACCTCAAAAATAAAAATAGGGGAAGTCCTTTCAAATACTTGTGGATTGGCTGCCTGCCTCTGTTTGGAAATGCCCAGGCAGTCACAAGGCTTATTTCATTATTATTGCAAAAGCCAAAACATCTTGAAACGATACCTATGGAAGAAAAAGATAAGTTTTAGGGGCTGTGGATTATAATTTGCTTTGTTGTTTTCCCCTGAAGTGCTGTTTTCTTTGATTTAGGGCTAAAAACCTCTTGTTAATGAAGATTCCCAAATCTTGGTCTAAGTAGGACATAGATGTTTGCACAACTCCCCTCTGAATTGAGAAGGGAGGAATAAATGCAAGATGGTCTATCTGATCTTAGCGTGGAGAAAGTGGCCTAGTCTGTGTGCCCACCCTGAGCTTCTCAGTGACCATGGCCCGGTTGACCCTCCTTGGGCTGGCTCTCCATTCTTGCTTCCATTACCAGTTTTCCTTCTGCCCGGGGCCACCTGGACACTGCCTTGGCTCCGCAGTCCATCCCAAAACCTTGGCCATCCCAGCTTGTCCTCAAATGCCGTCCCTGCCTCCCCCGTCCCACCGAGGGGCTTTCCTTCGTTCTAAATCTCATGTCCTCCTGGTCATCTTCCCCAGCCTCTCTCCGGCTTTGCCTTCTCTCCCTCCATGCACCAAGCCAGCTATTCATTCTCC